GAAAAGTGGGGGTCGTCTTGTACATGGGGGCGTCTTATTGTCGGAAAAATACGGTACCTTTTTTCCCCCCTATTTTTTAGGTATTTTAACTTTCAAGTATTTTAACTTTTGTTAAATTTGCTTCGTCTATTCGTTATTCTTTTTATCGACATATCAACATATAGATATATACAGGTAGTCCTTGACTTACAACCACAATAGGGGCCTGAAAATTCTTCATTGTGGTGCAGTTGTTAAGCAAGGCATCATATGACTGCACACGATTTTATGACATTTTTGTGGTGTCATTAGGTGAATCAGTGGTTAAGTGAATCATGCAATTCCCCATTGATTTTGCTTGTTAGGGAAGGTTGCAATTGGTGATCAGGTGACCCCAGTACACTGCAACCATCAAAAATGCATGCTGGTTGCCAAGCATCCAAATTTTGATTGCATGACTGCGGGGCAACTGTGACAGTCGTAAGTGCAAGGACCAGTCGTAAGTCACTTTTTTCAGTGCCATAACTTCAAACGGTCACTAAATGAATGGTCATAAATCGAGGACTACCTGTACACACTAAGTAACAATACAGTGGACATCATAATATTAAGTAATTAGTGTAAGACAAACTATTATCACATAACTAATATTTCAATGAGAATTGCAGTTGCTCTTTTTTACATTCAACTTTGGATGAAATGTTAAATAATCTTATGCTTGTAACACTGACATTCTAAATGGCAATTAATAGTGATAGAATTTTTATTTTTTTTCTTTTTACTTTCAATACTTTAAGCTTTTTAAATAATAGAATGTTTATAATCCTTAATCATATTATCTAAATATTACTGCATTGAAATCTGCTTTGAAATAATACAATCTATCATAATTTACAATATTACAATAAAAGGAAAAGAAATGGGGGGGAATTACAGCCCCTCCCCAAAAAAACTCATCCTTGGTGAGAATGGAAGAAACCCAGTTTCTAGGGTCCAAAGTAATACTTTCAGGTACACTATTTGCCCAGTGTTACTTATTTTTTGCTTTTTCCTTTTAAAAGAAAGAGCATATCATAAATTGCTATGAAAAGTAGTATTTGCTTCAAATATTGTTTGTAGTATATTGGACACGTGTTTGAGAAATATTAAGATCAAAATTCTGGATTCCTTTAGCCCAGATCTCACTGCTTCAGGAGAGGCAGAATGAAAAACAAGTTTAAAATAAGGGTGGAAATGCACATTTAAAATGAAAATAGCTTAATAGAGCTGGAGGCATTTTTCTTAAGAGTTAGACTGTGTTTTTTTTTATTAAATGTGTACCCAATTTCCACCTTTAGATGCATCTCAGGATCAGAACTGCCAAACAGCAGAATCTAGCCCTTCTCCTGTCAGCAAAAATGTCTTATTCAGGAAACAGACTGTGAAAAAAACCTGTTATCCATCTTAATGGGGATAAGCATGGATACCTTTTAATGTGGATCTAGTGTGAACTGGCTCATTTGTAAGGAACTTTTAACATGTCATCTCTCTATGGAACTGTGTGCAACTTTTCCCAGGCTGAACTTCTTTAGGTAGCTTTCCAAGGTCCACATTACTGAAAAACAGAGTCTGTAGCAAGGATAAAAACTCTATTTGATGTGATTTCATTTACATATATAGTACAATTGCTCTCTAGTCATATATCTCTTCCTGTTTAAACATTACATTTGAGTAACAGTATTTGGAAGTCTGGAGGTTGCAAGTTGTGTGTCTCTGATCTGTGGCCTCAATGTAGGCATGCTAAGAGGGTTGGCACATGAGTGAAAATTACGGTTAGCTAAGACAATAACAGCTTCGCCTAAATTCTGTTCCCTAAATAAAGCAGCCTTTATATTTGGTTTAAGTTTATTGAAAGACACATTCCTAAAACATAACCTTTGAAATGTCTGTCTGCTTTTCAGGAAGACCCACCAAACCTATCCGAGTTTTTAGTTTATCACCAAACTTGCTGGAATTCATCTGATATTGCTGCTGCCAATGCTACCTTTCTTTGCCCTGAAAGAGCCTTTCTCTCTCCTGTTTCCCTAATGTGCCATCACCTGGAATAAAATTTTAAAATACAAGTTTTCTGAATAAAATCTAAAGCATTGCACGGTCCTCATCTCCATGATATAGGATTTTTAAAATATTGATTCAGTGACTAAATACCAAGTCATATTAAAATGTGTGGCAAAATCTAAAGCCTCTTTATTTGTTTCAGGGAAATGAACAAAATCATAATTTGGGATGCACGTGGGATATGTTAAGGAACTCTTCTGGTGAAAAAATTACTATGTTGAAGATCAGTTCCCTCAGTATTCCTAATACAGATTATATTCAATACCTTGGAGAAATTGCAGAAGAACAAGGTTTTAATATAAAATACTTGAACATAGGTAAGACCTGGTGCAATAGGTAACATGCATTCCTTTCCTCCACATTTCCTTTCCCAACACTGCTGGGGCAGAAAGAGGAGTTTCAGATGTTATGTACCCAAAAGTTATTTTTTAACATTTAGCCTGAATATATGTTTAAGAATTACTATAATCAGAGAACTATTGCATTGGTTAAAAAATGAAAAACAAAGAGAAATTGCCTGTTTTTCAAAAACACAGTGACTACTATAGTTGACAAAACAGCTCCCTTAATTTACAGTTGAAGAATGTGTTTGATCCAAGCCAAATAAATCAGAAATGGGCAGTCTATGTACCTCAAACCCCTCTCATGTGTCCCCTGAGCTTTCATGATGGTTTCCTCTCATCTTAAAATTTCCTCTCATCTTAAAACAATAAATGTGTGAAAACTGTTATTTGAACCCTAGAACAAACAAACCCTTGATCTACCTCTAAAGAAACAGGAGGGCAGGAGTGGGGGGAGCAGAAAATTCAAGCCATGCCTATGTATTAAATATAGTTCAAACTGCTGTGAATCACTGTCCTGTTTCAATTCATAACACATGAAAAAAATAGATTAAAAAGATGGTCAGCCTTAAAATTAACAATGGAATTGGTTCTAGAAAAAAATTACTGGTATTTTGGTATGTTTCTATTCCTTTAATCCAGTGGCATGCAGAACTTTGTATTATGTTCCAAGTCTCCAATTGTATATGATGCTATTAGGCCCCTGTGCTATTATGTTAATCATATCTTAATTGGCTTTAGTCAAAACTGGAATGGAGTTGTTCTGCATCTGTGTGAATAGGGTAAGAGGGTCACCATGAAAAAAATGTATAGTTAAGGGAGTCTGTCACTGCTTAGGATGCACTGTCTTCACTGCACAGGATGAAGAATGGCTTCTACATCAATCTTTAGAGTAAGGCAACATCTCTGATGACCTGGTGATCTATTCGGAATATTTGGGAAAGAGAATTTAGCCATGTTTTGCTTGCTGAAAGGTAATACTTTTCTACTAATCATCATTTGTGTCTGTAATTTCAGAGGAGTTGAGTGTGAACGGACAATTCCAGAGCCTTGTAGAACTTTCAACCAATCCAATCATAGTTTGCCATGGGACTGGAATCTCCTGGAGCAACGCCCACAATGATTCGGCTCACGGTGCTCTACAGTATTTAAAAATCTTGGCTGGGAGGAAATAAACTTGAAACAGGAGAAAGAACGAATGTGGGTATATTTGCATACATCTATCTGTTTTAAAATTGAACAATTTTCAAATTATTGAGGCTGTTTTTTAAAGTCACACCACAACCACAACATTCATAACTGTAAATTGTAAAGAAAAAGTAACTTAAATCTATTATGAGGTTTTTATTTATTTATTTTGGAAAGCTGGAATCAGGAAAACCAGAACCTGCAAAGCTGTGTGCATGGAATGAGGCACACCGTGTTCAACTCTATAGTGTCTGATGAATCAGAATCCTCAGTACCAAAGTAGTCTTTAGTCTGTGAGCAGCTATTCCCCAAAAGCAGCCTTGGACCTAGTGCCTCCTTTCTCCATATTGTTTTGTACAGGGAGGGGGAAGTCTGGCTTGAGGCAAGCCTACTGAAGAGCCCAGTGTATGCTTGAGCTGGAGGGAAGGAGTTTGTGTCTTAAGAATGCCACACATTGGGGGTAGGAAGTCCAGCCTGTTCTCCCTTATTTCTTAATGCTAATGTATTGCCTTGTCAAAATGACTAGATAGTTCACAGTAAAACCACAAAGCAAAACACATTACTGTTCCATAAAATAATACTGAAAGTAGATTACGATTGAACATCTAATTTCAAATAAGTTAACTAGTTTCTTAAAAAGCAGACTGACATCCACATCCATAATTATAGCAACCCAGTATGCAAACAGTTCAACTCCTCAAAACCTAGTGAAACAAAACATCTTCAGGGTTCTCCTGAAGGATAATGATGTGGTGATCCTCCAGACTCCACAAGAACAGGACAGTCACCAGGAAGGCCTGCCTCTTCCCCCATCCTTATCTTCCAGAGCCCCGTAACAGGCAGATGGAGCCACCATCTGTCCCAAGGTCACTTCAGCCAGCCCACCTTTCCATTATGCCAAACTCATTACCTTTTACTGTAAACCAGTCAAACTCAAACATCCAGCAGTCCTCCAATTTAACCCCAGAAGATACACTTCCATGCAATCATTGTGGGCGATGGGGGGAACAGACACTGTTCTCCACCCCTTGGCCTGTACATGATGAACTCATTCAAGCACCAAGTAGTCACAGGCAAGCCCTGTGTACAGTCACAAACTGTAGAAGAGTAGAGAGAGGACCTTGGAAAAAATACGTGACCATTAGTAAAAAGTGAGCTTAATCCAGGAAAATAAAGTGTGAGAAAGAGACTAAAGATAC